GCAGGGATCTGAAGGTGGGGCAGGGGGGACATGCTGCAGCCCTGGGAGCTATAAGGGTGGCACATGGGGCAGGGCGGTCCCTGCGGCACTGTGTCTGGGCTCATCTGTACCTCTTAGCATCCAGCTGGAGCTGGGAGAGGACCTGCTGTGCTCTTTTGGAGTATGCTTAGAGTTATGATGGTTTGTTTACATTTTTATTAGTTTCCTATTCCCAGCTGATCATAATACACCTTTTTTTCCTTTAAAAGGTATGGGAAAGGCATTTGTTAAATTGTGTAATCCGATACTTGTACCGTCCGTCCTGTTACTGTGGTGTGTGATGGGGATGGCCATTATGCTAAGGTGATACTGGCAATGTCTGAGCTTCAGTTTCCCATACTTCTTATGAGGCTAGTGCCTAATTTAAGCCCCTGAATTGTGTCACTCTGTTTTGCACAGAGGAGGTCTATCTCCTGGCTTAGCACCAGGCACAGACCGCTCCGGTTGCATCTGTGTGTCCTTCCACCCTAGACAAGGCAAGGTGGCAGGTACTGCTCCCAGATAAAAACCCAAGCCTCATTCCTCCCTACCACCCAGCACACCTCCAGAGAACCCAAGGGCAGTTTTGTCCGCCTCTTACTCCATCTGCCTTCTATCCTGAAATCTGTGAAGGTAATACTGTACAGTGAGGTTGGTGAAGGGTAAATGACAGTAGTTTAAAATTAGATTTCCCCTTTCATCAGTTCTTCCAGGTGCTCACTGATAGCCTGTCAGGGCTTAATGGCTGGCTGAGTTGTTTCTGATGACATTTCATGTGTTACAGCATCAGTGCTTCTGTAGTAAAACATCACAGTAACAGTCAACGCTCTCCCCTTTCATCAGTCTTTGGCCTGACAGCTCTGATGACATGGGACACTACTTGGCATAGAGGCAGACAGCTGTGCCTCTGGCCAAGCTAGCAGTGGGACATGGTCCAGGTCCAGAGGGACATGGCAGGAGCCCCACCGGGCAAAGCAGCCACCACAGTCAGTTAGATGAGTGTTCTGGCAGGCACATAAAAGATCATTGACACAAACTGCTTTGATGATGGGGGAATTCCAGCAGCAAACCTCTTGACTCTTCTCCCTCTCAGCATCAAGACCAAGATGTGGTATACTTTTTCTCGTCAGTGTCTGTCTTGGCATCAAAGGATGGTTGGGCTCAGGGCACTAATGCAGGCTTGGGGTTGGGTAAAGTTCCTTGAAGTCTCTTGCAGAAAGAATTGGTGAAAGAAGCTCCATTCAAGTGAGCAGGCTTTGGCTTTCTTTTTCTTAATAAGAGTAGGTGTTTCGCACAACCTGCTTTGTAGCCCACGTTTCTAGTAGTCCTACACTTAAAATCTGTCCTTGAAGGCAAGTTGAGAGGGTAAAATGCACTGCTTTGTGTCACAGAGAGTATCAGGGCAGGTTTGTACTGCGTGGCGATGGGTGCTTGCACACACAGCATCCGTGAGCTGGGTGAACAATGCGTCTCCAGCTCCACTGGGGTCCCTCTTCATTCCCTTAACATTCCTAGCAGGATTTTCTGTATGCCTCTTTATAATGCAGAGTATGCGCTGCTCTGATTAATTTTTTTACGTTTGATTATTCAGTACTGCACATAAACAGATGTGCACATAGAAAAGTGCCCCCTGTTAATCAGGAACTGTTAAACCATATGGCATGTGAAGATGGAATATTATAGCTATGGGATGAGAACCTCCTGTTCAGCAACCAGGTTCACATGCAGCAAGCACCGTGTTAATGTATTCTTGCCAACGCTGTCAGTTCCGTCATCTGGCAAGTCAGCCTAAGTGACGGCGTGGATTTCTGGAGCGTTCCTTCTCCGCTGAGGTCCTGCTTCTATTAAGTCAGTGCCAAGAGCTCATCTTCCAATTTAAAAACTTTGTGAAGGTATGGGTGAAAAAGTGGAGGATGCTCTGATCTGCCTGTACTGCACTGCTCTTAGATATTGTCAGTACAGTGAAGATGCAGTTGGCCTTACTGCATGTCCAGTGGTATTTCTTTGCCCAGTTTCTTTTGCGATCTGTCTCTTGGAGAATCACAAGAGTAGGGAAGTCCAAGAGGCTTCATGTATCAGGCGCAGTGTTGCGACCGACATGCTCTAAGGTTGTGGGTGCCCAAGAACAGGCTGATGACAAGTGTTGCTGTTGCAAGCGATCAGTCCATAATAGTGAGAACAACCATTGCAACCAGTAAATGAGAGGTTTCCAGCATCGTTTGCCATTATGAGTAATTGTTCTAGTTTGCATCAACGTATCGGAGCTGAAAACAAATTCAGAAGGTCCCTTTTCTTTTGTTTGTGTGATACTTTAACAGACTCAGGGTACCTAGAGATTATTCTTGCCTGAGGCAGCCTGAGACCTGGGAAGTGCTCTAATAGATGTGTTGTTTGTAACTAGTTACTTCAAAAACACTGCAACACGGTACTCGGCTATCATAACTGTCATGACAGGATTGAAGTCGCCCGCTATCTGAAATCTTACTTAAAATGAAGACAACGTTAGCTCTGTGGCATTAGTTCTTTGCACACTTAATGTTGTATGAGCATGGAAATGGGTGCACTTGCAGCAGTTAAGTCACTACGCAGAATATTGCCTTTAGCAGGTGCTGTATTGTACCAAGGTATCTGCTCCTTTCCCTTTCTCCTAAGAAGCGCAGGCAGCCTGTCTCTATGGAAAAAAAAAGGGATTTCTGCAGTCCTGAGGAGCTGGTTTCTTTCAGCAGTCAGTCCTTGCAGGGTTCCTCTCCGCACCGGGGCTCCTACTGCCCGATGTCAAGGTGTTGGCATCTTGTAGTGATTCCCTGTAATGGATGCTTCTAACTTATGCTCTCTGCTTTTATTTCTTCCAGAGCACAGATCTGTACCTCTCTTAAGAAGAGCCATTAGGGGTGGGTGTTTTTTCCCCTAAAGTGCGTTTATACTTCTGTTTCCACGCCTATACTTCTGGCCTTAAACGGTGTTTCAGACTTCTTTGAGGTTCAGAGCGCTTTGCATGTAGTTCATGGACATCTTTCTCATACACTCTATCAGTTGGAAAACAAAATCATGGACAGCGTTGCTGATGGGTCATAGTTCTTCTTTTGATCCTTTCATTTGGTACTTTAACCGTGAGATAACCTTTATCCTTTTGCTGATAGAAAAACTCACTGGCAGAAAACCAAGCCATAGTAAAGGGAGCTGATGGGGAAGTGTTTGACGTGTGGTATTGGGGCCAAGGAAATATCGATGCATTCCAAGGCTAGGTGTAGCAAAAAAGGTGGTGTTACTGCTTTATTCTGCTGTGATGTGATGTCTAGCAAAAGTTTTAGTGTATAGCTAAATGCTGATGAAAACATGGAGGGAAATCAATTTTTTATTAAAAAAGGGGGGACATACAGCTGATGTAGTCAAGCTAGGGGCAAGCAAAGTTAGCTTGGGGAGGGGACACTTCAGCTTCGATATCTGTTTCTGTTTTAAGTATCTTACAACATATTTCAAATTTCAGAATGGGTCAATGCATGCCCCTGCAAGGGAAGGCAGCTCTATCCCTGTTTTTAAAACAAGCTTCACAGTTAGAAGTGGCTAGTTGCTACTTTTCAGACCACCTTAGCAGTATTAGTACCAAGTCATGGTGTGTATTGCGGTGCTCAGCTTTTATCTACTGTTAACAAAAAAGTAAAAAAGACCTGATAATGAATGGCCATCATTTACATGGGGTATTAAATTCATGAACTGCTGCTCTGTCTGTAAGCTTCATTTTATTTAGCACTTTGCTGAATGGACTGTGCCGGAACACTCGGTATGTGTTCGAAGGGCATCATTTTATGTATCCGCAAACCTGGAGCTGCTCTCTTTGACAAGGGACGTTGTGTAAAGCAGGAGCATGCCTTGCTGCGATACCTCAGGTCGTGGCAGTGGGACTTTGTGCCCTTCCTAGTAAAAGCAGAGCCTTGACTTGCTGGGCAGAGGATTTCAGTGTGTCTGTGGCCCCTGCTCTCCAGGCACCAGGACTCCACATTCAAAACCTCTTCATCTGTTGTGTGTGTTAGATGTTTTCTATTCCAGCCAACATGCAAAACTGAGGGCTGGAAATCAAGCAAGAAGCACTCTCTGTGAACCCCCCTCTTGACTCCGGAGCACAGGCCACTCAATGTGTTTGTGCTGAACTTACTTAGTAACAGCCTGTAAGCGCACAAGGCAAGGTTCAGACTGAGCATAACATTACAGGAATGTAGCATCTGTCTGATATCCTGGCTTGGACAAGTATCAAACAAGGAAAGTATGTCAGAATTTCTCTTGCTCAGCATCTCCATGCTTTATAAACTACCAGAAATGTGTGCTTTTCCATAGTTACAGAGGTTCTATAATAGTCCCGTAGGCTTTCTGTGGAGGGCTGCAGGTGTAAGCGTGTTCCCTCCGAACCACTTTAACAAACGAGTGGCTTGGATGATGAATTTTTAATTCTCTAGAGTATGACATACAACAAAAACGGAAAAAGCAGTGACTCATTACATACTTAATTATGTGCTAGCTGTGATACTGTGCAGTTACCAGGGGGAGCCCAGAATGAGCATTTGGGACAGAGCTGCCTCAGGGCACGCAGCTTTTGCAACAGTTCCTGCCGTAGCCTTGCCTCTCTTACCCGGTAGGGGACAGCTTCCCTTCCTTCTCTAAAACCACGGCCAGATCTTTGCTGTGCCCTGGCCTCGCGGCACCTGTCAGCCGCAGGCTGTTTGTGCCTACATTGATAGCTGGTGGTGGTAAACTCTTTGTTCAGCTCAGTCCCCAGAGGAGATCCCTGGCAGATCGCGGACATCGGCTCGCAAGGACTCGAGCGTCATCATCAGTTCTTGCACATCATGTTGGAAACGTGTACTGGGTCTCGGGGAGAGCGGCGGGCTTTTCGCTTGATGGAAATTTGACCCTACTGGTGCTAATGTGGGAATCCACCGCCGCTGCAGTCCTTTGCTTGGGGTAATTCTGACTCTGCCTTCCTCTAGGAGGACTTTCGGAATAAAGTTGAAGATTACATTAAGCGCTATGCGAGATGATGAAGGGAGATGGATGGCAGGACCATGGCTTCCACACGAGAGTTGTCCTTAACTTCAACAACAACAACAACAAAACCAGCCCGGATTGTACTAGTCCTGTGTCCTTGTTGTACTGAAGAAGAAAACTAACTTCATAACTTGTCCATGTTAAAAGGAGAGTTCAGCATAAATACAGCAAGAAATTGTGTATGTTGGTGGAAAAAGTTGTTTGCTTACTTTTAAAAATGTTTACTCTTCTGAACTGTACTGTATATCCTGTTGATGAGATACGCTTGAGAAGTTAAAAGAAATCACTATAGAAATTGTAATTACACTTTTTTTTTAACTCTTGCCTAGTTTTGAGGGGGGAAGGCAAAAAAACCAAACAGTAAAGGTGGTGTGTTTTTGGAACACTTCAAGTTGGCAATAAAATGGTCTCCTGTGAACCAAATCACAATACTGTTGCCTTTGAGCGGAAACAATACAAGCTTTTTTCCAAGAGTCATTCAGCTAAGGCTTAGAGCTTGCCAGAATGCAAGTGCTGAATGAAATTCTACTTCTGATATTGAAATGCTTGATGATGCTTAATGTAAGTAGGATTTTGTCACACGTTTGGAACTTTACATTGTTATTTTCAGCTCCTGTTTGGGCTACGGTATTTTTTGTTTCTATTCATTGTGTGAAGTAGCTAAAAGAAATATAGGCTAATCTGTAACTTAAGTAAATGTGTAGTATTAGTAAAATTATATATATATTATATATATTATATATTCCTGTGAAAATTTAATGAAAGGGAGATTTTTTTAAGAAATCTGCCTTTGGCTTTCCGCTCTGGATGTGGTGAGGGAGCATCAGATGCTGTTCGATCTGATGAAAGTAAATTCAAGCACCATTACCTGGAGAACACCTAATTGTGTTCTTCAAACTTCTGCACTGAAAGTGAATGACTAATAATGCAGCCAAGAATAATAACGCACTGCACCCTCTTTTAAACACTTGTGCACACCTGGCTTTTTTGGTAATTTGAAAGGATATGATGCTGTAATTGCCTTTTCTGTAAGTAGCTGTGTATCAAACACCTAGTATGTGCAAGCAGAGATCCTTCAGAAGAGAGTAGCATGTACCTCAGGAATCACTTCAGAGTAAATGCTGTGAGAAGTTTGCTGCCTGTCGCGTGCCAGAGCTCCCCGCTGCTCCCCCCTGGCCCAGGCTGTGCCCGGGGCTGCTGGGCAGGGGCGTGCTGGTGTAGTCTCAGAGACCGAAATGCATTTCGCTCGTGGGATCACGCGGAGGGAGGTGCAATGGAACCGATTCAAGCTTTTATAAATAGATAAACCATAGAAATAAACGTTTGTGTGGTTTCATACGGAGCAAGTGTGTGTGTGTGATGGTTGGGCTTTGACTGCTGTGGGGTTTTTTTATCCCCCCCAAATGATTATGCTTCATTCTTTTTCCCTGCAGGCACTGAAGGAAACCAAAATTATCTCCATCGTTAGTGTGGCAGAGCTGGGTTGCAAATTTTAAGCATGGTGCAGCCTTGCTTGTTAAGTTTTCCCTGTGCCTTTTCTCTGACGGCTCCTGTTTGTGTTACTGGAGGTCTGAGAAAGCAGGGAAATGCAATGCAGGGATTGGCATGCAGGAGGAGAGCCTTGTCATGAGCTTCATCTTTGCATAATACTGCCACCGTGTCTACTTAAAATGAAACACAGATCAGCATATTATTTTAAGCAGGCAACTGCGGTGAGAGATCTTTGCTGCCAAAATAGTAATGTCAGGGAAGGTAAGGAATAAGGCACTTGCAAAAATAGAAAGGTTGGAAAATCTGTCCAGTTTTTGTGTATTGAAAGATTCTGTTATTAAACCACTGAACCAGTTTGCTTTAATGAAGCTCAGCACTCCTTGCTATAGCGGCACCCTGGTACCCTTATCACCTTCCACCCTTCAGCAACAGAGGTAAAAGTCCCTGTTCCTTGGGCTGTCACCCACGCCTGGCTCCCTGCTATTCCTGGGAAGCCACTGCAGCTGCACCCCGGGTGGAGCAGAGGCAGGGTCCTGCCAAAGAGAGCCAGGAGCAGGCAGCAGGTTTGGGGGAGCAGCAGCCTCTGTGAGCACAGCCCTAGAAATGGAGTCATCAAGGCCAGTCCCCACCTCCCAGTATGGTCCTGCTGTATAAGCCCTTCACAATGTTTTTGCTTACCTAGAGGAGGTGAGCAGGATGTTCAAGTTGGGGTACTATTAAATATGGTACAAGAAGGCTTAAGCATCGGTTTCTTCCCATCCAGAATACGGGGGGGGGGAAAAGTTGCACCTTATCCTCATCCTAGAAGAGCCCATCATCAGCTCACAGTCCGGGAAAAGAAACAGAAGTATTTTTTCCTGAACACAAGGAGCTGTGTTTTTTTAAATAAATATATAAATTTATTTATATTGTGTATATATATGTTATATTTATGTCTATTTACATATATATTTGCATACTCTATCCAGACAACCTTCATTTCCATCTCTTGCCTTCACCAAAGTGCCAACCCCCACGGTGCTGGGGGGGGCACAGTTCACCGCATGTGGCCAAAATGCTTCAGCAGAAATCTCACTGGGAGCTCGCTGCCATCCTGTGCCCCCATGGGCCCCTGCCACGGCAGAAAGCAAACTCCTCCTACACGTCCCCAAAGTGTCACCTTCCCTTGTGGCCAGTCAGCAAATAGTGCTTATGCAGGAATCTGCTTTTGTAATGCCCATGCAGCTTTTGGAACGACCTGCTGCTTTTTTATTGTTTTGAGGTGTTTTTTAAATTTATTTTTATCCTAGGCAGGTAGCCATCTTCCAGAAAGCCTCTTCAGCTCTTCCTGGGACTGTAGTCTCCAGAGCATGGGTGCTCCCCATCAAATAATGCTGGTTTTTTTTTTTCTTCATTGTTCAACTGCCCTTGAGAAATGCATCAAATATCAAATGACAAAGGAAAAAAATGCTTCAGCATCCTGGAAAAGGAACAGGAGTCGGGACCAGGCAGCCTGGGGTGGGCCAGGTGGATGGCTGGGCATCCTACTGCCTGGCGTGTGAAGTTTTGGGGTTTCTTTGGAAATGTGAAGGCCAAGGCAGGGACAGCAGCTGGGTCTCCCTGAGGGACCCCTCCCTGAGCTGGTGAGTCCCTGAAGAGGATCTGGAGCTGTTGGGGACAGCAGAGACCAGCGGTGGGGTCAGGGGTCCACTCCAGATGCTGCTCAGTGTCCCCCCAGGAGACCCAACCCCGCTCCTGGAGCCTGCCGATGGGGCAGACCCTCAGCATGCCCAACCCAGGGCCCCCCAGGCAACCCCCAAGGACCCTGCTGCCTCAGAGAGGCAGGCGCCACTCAGTCAGCCCTCCCTCCCCGCCCCCCAACCCACTTCAGGGCACCCAGTGCCGCCCCAAAGGGTGCCCATGCAGTG